TATATATATATATATATATATATATATATATATATATATATACAAATATAAATAAACTAATTCACATCCAAAATCCAAATTCATAATTTCCTAAAGAAAAATAATATCAGAAAGCATTCTACGGTTACTAAGTAGATTATTATTAATAATAATATTAATCATAATTAGGCATCTTAATACCGTTAATTCCTTTTGAAAACCACATTTTGCTTTGGTTTTCCATACAAAATTCAATAATACAAAGAGATTTGCACAAAGTGATGCATGAAAATTATAACGTCTGCCATAGAATCTGCAAAATCCAAACCAGATTAAAATGTAAGCTAATTTTAGGGTTAGGGTTGCATACAAACATCCCTCAGCGTGCTCCGTGGTGGCAATTTGCGTCCACTAGAACACGGTGTATTAAATTAGAGATGTGTCCCTATTATATGTCACAAGTATCGTATTACCCACTTACCAAGAAATTTCCAAGAAAACAACTCGACCCCCTGTCGTCCATTCCCAACATTGAAAAATACCGGGGAAAAAATCAAGCTCAAGTATGTTAAAAATTACCTAATATCCCCTTATTTTTTTCTTCTGCAGCGCCCTCAATTCATTATCGGGCCACCCTTCCACATTCGCGTTCACCCATCAACAATCCCGCCCCCTCCCCTCCATCGTTTCAAATGTCATTCCCCCATTTCAAGACTCCTAGATACGACCCAGGTAATCCTATTCTATGTTACTATGTTAATAAGATAACATAAACAAAAAAAAAAACAAAAAAAAACTGTCCATCAAGTATTTTGGAAATTCCTTTGGCGTAAAATACAAAAACACATTAATTAAATTACATCAAAATTTAAATTGCACTCCAAATTAGAAATAGTTTTATCAAAAGATATTACGGTATGTAAAAAATATTTAAAAGAAATACATCAGGAAAACACTACATATAAATTGTATTTAATTGCACTTAAATTTACCATTAATCATTATAATCATTTATCATTAATGCCTCAAGCTACATACGTATTCATATAGGCCTATACAATAAAATAAATAAATAAGTATAGAAACATATGCATAATGGATTCAAGTTTTTAGCAATGACAACATTTTTCGCAACCAACTCCCAATTCTCCCAGTTATTGTATGCTATCCATAATAATTGATAAAGTCTATCTCAGTGGCGGATTAAAGGGGAAAGCCTGATTTTTTCCCCCAATTTTTGCACTTCCATTTTATTGAATTAAAAGTTCTACGGTATTGTAACACAACAGATTTTAATGTCGTCATCATCATCATCATCATAATCGTCATCATCATCGGTTTTGGTACGTAAAACGTATCGCACTTGGAACAGAGCACAAGTTTTTTTAAAGTTATATTTTTACTTCTAGGCTAGTCCTCACCGAAGCCCTGTACAATATTCCCTGGCTGCAATAAATTTGAATTTTTTTTAAGGATCACATACGCCTCATCAACCCTCGACTGTGGATGCGGCTTATCCATCCTAGACTAAGGATACGCTTCAACCATCATCGGCTACGCATGAGCAATCCTGTATGCAAGGTGAGCTGTGTGTGTGTGTATATATATATATATATATATATATATATATATACTTCCTTTATTCGGGTCTGAAGGGGAAACTCTTTTGTCTATGATTTCGCCTTATGGTCGTTTTAGTTTCCCCTTAGCGATACTACTTTCTCCTAATATGAGACAAGTTCTACTTCTAGTTTTGATCCCTGTGATGGTCTAATTTCGCATTTTTTCACCTGCAGGTCTGATATAATCAAATTTTGTTATTTTAAGAATACAATAATTTTTCATATGTATGTTTTCTTATGACCATTACGAAATAAATGTTACCGAGAGAGAAGTCAACAGATAAAATTCATGACAGTCATTCGTATTTGTTTTTGTTCTTTCAACTCGCTTTGATAAGTGGGGTTTTAACTATAGAAGATTTCCTATCACCGATCAGACAATAATTCAATGTTGTGTCTTATAATGTTTGCGTCTCGTGTGCTCTTAGCAGTTTTTATTTTATCGCAATGATTTTGTTACTAGGCCAATTCTCTGAATGCACATAACAAACCTAAAAGATCTCGCTCTACGGTGAAAACGAATAAAGCCAGATTCTGGGGCCTGTGGGAGAATGGCAGATTTCGAACTGAACAGGTACCCCAGTATAAAGAAATAAATAAATTACCTAGGCTAGGTCAAGAAAGGTTTACGGTTATGAGATAGCAAGGAAATAGACTTACTAAAATACCAACAATTTTAAGAGGTCATAGGCCCATGCATACCCACACACTATATACTTTACACCGTACCATTTCTACTCAAATATTATTTGCAGTGATGCTGAGAGACCAGGGCATATGGAGAAAGTGCCCCATGGCCCAGGATGCTAGGTAAGAATTAACAAAATAAAATAAACAAAAATATTAAACATAAACGTTTGTAAATTTGTGGAAATATTATTTATTATTTTTGTAAATTTTGTTTTCTTCACAATGTCAAATCAGATGGTGTATATTTATATATATTGCATAATACTCATCATTTGAACATTAATATAAAAACAATAATATATAATTAAGCAATGACATGTCTTTTAAATTGCCTAATAATGCTTATAAGAAAAAGAGGACATACATTTTATATACATGTTATTAAAACAATTTACACTAATGTTTTCATGCATAGTTTAGGGATGCTACGGTCCAATGTCTTTGGTCCTGGATGACGTACGTCATCAAAAGTGTGCGATGATAGTTCAACCTTTGACCTTATGGGACATCAATGAGATGCCACAAAACGTTGTTTTAACCATGGAGGTATAAAAATATTTTATATATATTTTATACCTCCATGTTTTAACATCGTCAATGCAAAGTCCGTGAAACTTTGTGTAGTCAAAAACATTTCCTCTTTCATGTGTTATGGTACACTGGCGGCGCAATCCATGGACCTTTTGAAATCAATTAAATTTATGAAAAAGTATATTTTAAGAAATTAAGAAATATATATAAAATAATCTTGATTCAGATAAAGCTATTTTAAGACTGATATTTAATTATTCTGCTCTACATATAATGTTCCTGTTATTAATGCTAATCTAGCAAACAGATTTAACATGTATATTTTAATACAATACTTAGGACGTCTTTTTCATCCAAGCGCAGGTCAAAGTTACATCAATGAATATTAAGGAGTTAATTATTGTAGTGAGGTTAATATAATTATTTTAATTGCTGATTTAAAAATAAACAAAGCATTCGCCTGTGCAGGGAGTTCTTACAAGCCTTGGAACAAACAAAAATTTAAGATTAATTTTTTTGGACCGTTCAGTTTTTACTTTTGGGAGGGTTTAGGTTTTCTAAGATGGTAATTGGAAGGGGGCTTTAGGAAGGAGGTGGTGTAGTCTATGGGAAGTGTTCTTGGATTCTGGAAGTAATCCCTACACAGTCGAGTGCGCCGCTTAGACAAAACAGGAATATTGCACATGGTCATGGAACTGCAGTATAGTCTGGTCGTTTTACTGATGCACCGGGAAAAAATTGTTAACGAAGCTTTTTTGGTATCAATCGATGCGCATGGGTGTCTTTAACTTGCAAAATATTTTCTTCATTCCTCCTTGGGAAAAAAGTTATAGTCATTTTAGTGAAAGCCCTCCACTTTTTCAGTTAAACTTTAATGAATTCTCATAGATTTGATAATATTCTGGACCTACACAATTTGTAGGCTGTCGTAACCAGGAATCTATATCAGGTATCTAGGAGACACAGGAGGCACCTATATGCCTATAGTGAGATTCAGAGAGAGGTACGATAGGGGTACGATGGGGAGGGGAGTAGGAAATGGCCTCATTGCTTGAAGCATTTTAGCATGTAAATGGCAAAGTTCATCATGTTAATAGTATTTAATGCAAGCTAGCTTGGGTAATAAGAGCGTTACTCAAAAGGTAAGAAAGGGATTCGCATCGTCGGAGAGAAAAAATCTCTAAAATTGATTAAATAAGCCTAACTGAGTGAGTTTCGAGGTGTTTCGCTCTTTAGACTCACCTCTGAGTAGTGCTTGTCCGTTCTTGTTATATAAGCATACTATTTTGTTATCTTGGTAGCTCAAGCAAGTAAAGGGCGACGACAGGGTATCTTAGTTAATCTTTATGTATATACTATAAATATGCTTATAAGACATTCTGATAGACCTACTCGTTTTTCTTGGATTCTCCAGATTTCTAGTAAACAACCTAGCACACCTCCTACTCCACCACTCACCTCAGCGTTGAATCTGGTCGGTTATTTGAGTATTGCAGAAATGTAAAGTACAGTATGGCATACATACAATATACAAGGGAATTGTTTTAGAAGTAAATTCTATGTACAGTATTGTTATAATGTTGATTACTTACACTAATTTCATTCATATTGAATATAAATAAAAGTAATAGGCATAGATTTATATAGCAATATAACTGATTACTGTATACCAAATCTTATGATATTCTATGATATGTCGTAATGTTTAAATTAAAGGCTGCCTACCCACTTAAAAAATTGATTAGCTTATTTAAAACAATCGAAATCTTATTAACAGGAAAAAAATCCTTAAGTTACATAGTATGCCTTTTTATTATTTTAATCCTGTGACAGCAATGTAAATAGCTTAGTGGTTATTGTTACACCAATCGTAAATCAATTTCTGTAGGCAATGATTTTTATGTTTATGTGTCATATACCATAAAAGAAATGCACTGAAGATGGTAATTCATCCTCAAGAATACGTTAATTTATTAAGTTTGGAAATGCAAACTTGTAATAAGTTAAAGATATTGCGGTGTTTTTTTATAGGAAATATTTCTTGTTTTTAACTTCTCACTTTTGTCCATCTCTTAGTTCACTTTAAAGGTATCCAATGCTTTGGCTTTAGCTTTCATACCATTGTCTATAAGTTTCTTAACGAATGCTTCCTTAGTTTTTGGGTCGTCAGTAAGTATACCACTCTTTTCCAGTTCAAATATTAAACACCACTGATCCTTTGATTTGGGTTCGTCGGGGCGATACAAGTTCTCTATGTCTGCTATGTTTTTTTTGTCTATAACTTTGCCAAATTCCAGCAAATTTCGTCGATGCACTGAAAAGCTGGTGATTTTAATTTTATTTAATCCAGCAAATGTCGGTATCGATTTTCTGATCTCTTGTTCTACGCCACTAAGGCCACCCAAAACAACGGCTTCAAAAATGACATCAACATTTGATTTGCTGATATGTCCGCTACCTTTAAGTAGATTGAAGAGAGAATTTGGCTTGCTTTGCTCCTCCATCTTTGCTACAGGAATTACCTTAAATTCGCTAAGTATCACTTTCAACATATTCAAGTTTCCATGTCGTTCCCACCATGAGGACACGTCTTTGAGCAGTTGATTGAAATCCAACGGAGACAGTTCTTTAAAAGAAATTATCAGAGAGAACATTTATATTTAACTTGAATTAAAATACATTTATCAATTGCCGCAATTATAAACTTCAGACATCTCATTAAAAATATTGAATATTTGCCCAGCTTACAGAAGATGTTTGAATTTAAAATAAATAAAGTGTACTGTCAATTATTTTAATGATAATAAAAAAAAAAAAAAAAAACCATGAACAGTTAATTTAGGCCTTTTTGTTGGGAGTGTTTTTGTT